ACATTGTCAGATTTCTTTAATTAAACTACAGCTTTGCAAACTAATTGCCCGCCGATTTTCTTCTGAGCAGTAAAAGGTTTGAGAGTCAAGATATGCTCATTCTCATCCACCCAACGCCTTGCGAGATAACACCTTTGGGTAAGGCTGCAACTTAACTCACTTCAGTCTCAAGCACACGCTCTCAGAGATGATCTCATTTCATCAACGACTTGCAAACAGTTAACAGGAGGAACACACACACACACACACACACAAATAAAATCGGCTGTTATTCAATCTCTCAACAATCCCAGGTCCACTTAAACCCCCTTCACTTCACGTCATGCCATCATACAAGAGCCAAGACATTAAGTTGCAGATCATCTGAAAGCACGTATTTGAGGGGACATATTTTATTTTCCCCTTAAAAAAAAACCAAACACACATGAACCACTGCACCCCAATTGCTAAATGCATGGATGTGCTGTTTATGAAATAGCATTTTGCTGTCAGTGGTGGATCTTAAAGCCTTCCTTTCGCTGTGGAAACACTCAATTGGTAAACTAAAACCTGAGCCCCAGCTCACTCGGGGAACACTGACATTGCAAAGTGTTAAGATGTGGAAAGCGATGTGCAAAGACATCGGATGATATTATCGTTCAGACCTGCCTGAGGGACGTCCCTTCATTTTCTATCCACGCCTTTCAAGGGGATGGGGGGAAAGAGAAAGAGAGAGAGAGAGAGAAAACTGGAAACATCGTATTTTAGGTAAAATATGCATTCACCTTTTTTGGGGGGGACGAAAAGGATGGTGATTGCTTATGTCTGTCTGTGTGTGGAGGAGGGAGTTGCAATGAAACAAAATAAATGACTGTGTTGCTTCCATCTGCAATTCCCCATTCATTTCCTTTTCTGTTGTTATTTGTTTGTTTGTCTGTCTGTCTGTCTGTCTGTCTGTTGTTGAGGGAGTCTTTCTTGAAGAAAGTCGGAGCTTGGAAATAAAAGTCTACCAAAAGGAGAAAGATGTCAGTTCTCTCTCTCTCTCTCTGAGCTGTCAGTGTTTTGTAGCGCATCGAGTGTGTCTTTTTTTTTCTTTCATTCTTTCTCCTTTCCCCCTCTCTTCTTTTTCCCCCTCCCGCCCCACCAACCCAACCCACCCCACCCCCTCCACCCTCTCTCTCTCTCTCTCTCTCCTTCTCTTTTACTCCCCTTCCCCTTCCCCCCCCCCCCCCCCAGCCCAACCCAACCCAACCCAAAACTACCAGCCACCTTAAACAGAACTGAGATCAATAAACGCAGATGAATAGAGCTCGTGATGGTTAATAATTTGTGTCACACACACACAGAGACACAAACACACACACACACACACACACAGAGAGAAAAAAAAAGGGGTTGACAGTGTTTCTTAGCAACAGTGGGTGTGAAATGACAAGTGTTTGGATCGAGACATTCAGTCGAGTGGAGAGTATTCAGGACCTCGGAGAGATACCCATTCCCTTATTATTGCCAACACCACACACAACCCACTTGCACATTGACTGCTTCCTCTCATTGCAAACTAAAGGACCAGGGAGTGGGATGGGATGGGATGGGATGGGATGCGCTGCCCCCGTTTTGTGGTAATATTATAAATAATACCTAATTTTCTCTCTCTCTCTCTCTCTCTCTCCCTCCCTTTATCCGTTTGTTATTGGGAAGTAATGGGGGGGGGGGGAACACAACTTGGAAAAGAGATCGGATTTACCCAACCCGTATACTTACACACACACTCACTCATCAAATACACCCACACACACTCACTCAAATACACACACACACACTCAAATACACACACACACACTCAAATACACACACACACACTCAAATACACAAACACACACACACAATCACACTCACTCAAATACACACACACACACTCAAATACACACACACACACTCAAATACACAAACACACACACAATCACACACACACACACTCAAATACACACACACACACTCAAATACACACACACACACAATCACACACACTCAAATATACATACACAAACTCAAATATATACACACACTCAAATACAAACACACACACTCAAATACACACACACACTCACACACAGTCATACACGCTCACTGATACACTCACATATATACACACACAGTCTCACACACACACTCACTCATACACACGCTCACACACTTACTAATACACACATTCACACTCACACACACACACACACGCGCCGCTTTGGAGTTGCACTTTAATCAGACACTTTAAATTGCAGCTTTCCTTTCTCTCTCCCCCCCCCCCCCCCCCCCCCACCCCTCATCCCGTGTGTCGCTATTTTATCGGCGATGTTATCCTCTGGAGAGCCCCTGCGATTTTGGGTGAAGCCGAAATGGAATGAGTTAGTTACACAATTTGCAAAGACTGGATTCGCTTGACGATGAACCGGAGTCCATTGGGAGCAGAAATGATGGCAATGGCAACCTGACAAACCCTGAATACCTCGACACAGAGCCAGAAATATGGTGCTGTACTCCTGTAAAGATCTGGACAGACAGACAGACAGACAGACAGGACAGTGAGGAAGAGAGTGTTTGAAATAAGCGAAGGGGTTATTCATTTCCTTGTGAATATTTTGGTCTGAGGCTCAAATGTACCTTGAAGATGAAATAATAATCTTCAGATCAGATCAAGGTTTATGGCGCCTCATTACAACGCTTTTTTTTTTTGCATTTCCTATAAAGGTTCGTGTCCGTGTGTGTTGTAAGGGGGGTGGGGGGGGGGGGGGGGTCATATCTTATCTCTTCCCCCCCCCAAAAAAAAATATCTCATATTATCACAAGTCCTGATCTTTAGTTGAACACAAACACAAAACAAGTCGCGGGGAAACAGTGCTATATTTTGGAGAAGGGGAGATTCGCAATTTGCGAATCCATGCGCAGAGGTTTCGATAGCTTGCCTTTTAGAGGACAAATGTGGACTGGACTGTGCTGAACGGGTGATCTTTTAAACTACACCCCCGCCCCTCAAACACACACACACACATAACCTCTTAGAGAGAGAGAGACAGAGGGAGAGAATCCAGTTGGGTCCAAAGAAAGTCCGGACCTTTAACCAAAGTCCATTTCCAATGGAAAAAAACCGTGAAATTGATGCAAACTCTCCAGAGATCAACCTCTACCCTAAACAACCTCTTCCCTCCTCTCTCTGTCTCTCTATCTTTCTCTACCTCCCCTTACACACAACACACACACACACACACACAACACACACATACACAACGCAACACACACGACATACACACACAACACAACACACACACAACACACACACATACACAACACAAACAACATACACACACAACACAACACACACATACACAACACACAACACAACACACACAACACACACACAACACACACACACAACACACACATACCACACACAACACAACACACACACAACATTACACACACATTTTAAAACCAAGTAAATATACATCTTTAATTGTAACAGACGTGAGACTGACGTCCCCCCCAGAACGTTCGAGGCAATGTGGAGTCTGAAACTCGACATCAGCCCCAACCTTAATGCTCCTCAAACAATAATGTTGAGTTGCAAAGACTATAAACGACGCAATCCACCCCCACACCCCCCACACCCCCCAAAAAAAAACCACGACACAAAAAAGCTGTTACAACTTGCAAACACCAGCCTTTAAATCCTCACATTTATCGACATTTTAACCACAATAACACACAAAATAAAGGTCTGGGATGGCTTGTTAAACGCCCGGAGACATCCCTCTCACACTCGTTCACTCACTCACTCTCTCACTCACTCTCTCTCCCTCTCTCTCTCTTTGTTCCTCGATCCATCGCTTTCTAAGAATTAAACACGCGACAGATCCGATCCGGGCGCTGCTCAGATGGAGGGAGAAGGCGACTTAGACGTGAAATAAGTGACCAGAGACAATAACACAGACACACACACAGACACAGACACACGAGCAGACAGACGCCGGGGTCCGTGTGACCAGCACTTTGAAACCGCGTTATACAGCGATCTTCATCGCTGTGGGTAACACATATTAGGAGCGATCTCAGGAACAAAGCCTTATAGAGAGACACAGAGAGAGAGAGAGAGAGAGAGAGGGACGACCGCAGTTTGTCTCACAGCTGTTTCTTTCTCTCTCTCTCTCTCTCTTTTTCTCTTTCTTTCTCTTCCTTTGTCTCTCTATTTGTGTGTGTGTGTGTGATTTCTCTTCTTACACACACACACACACATGTGTGTATATATATATATAAAGAGAAACGTTAGGGTGCAAGCGACAAAAAAAGGGGGAAAGAGAGGAAGGATGGATAGAGAAGGATAAAGGGAGAGGGAAAGAGGAGGAAAGGAGAGAGAGAGAGAGAGAGAGAGAGAGAGCGAGAGAGAGAGAAAGAGGGAGAGGGAGAGGTTTTCTTTCCTATACTCTGGTCTGGTGAAAATCAGAATAATAAAATAATAATTAGAGAGTGTGTGTGTGTGAGAGAGAGAGAGAGAGAGGAACGGGTGCAAGTTGCCTTTGTGTGTGAGTGTGTAGTGAGTGTATAGTGTGTAGTGAGTGTGTAGTGAGTGTGTAGTGTGAGTGAGTGTGTAGTGTGAGTGAATGTGTATATGTGTAGTGAGTGAGTGAGTGAGTGTGTGTGAGAGAGAGAGAGAGAGCTTGTGAGAGTGGGATCTACCACTGGCTTTGGGTTTTTGTGTGTGACTGTGTGTGTGTGTGTGTGACTGTGTGTGTGGGGGGGGGTGGAGAGTTGTGTGTGAGTGTGAAAGAGAGAGAGAGAGAGAGAGAGAGCTGTTCAATAAAAGAGGGGAGAGAGAAAGAGGGGAGAGAGAGAGAGAGAGAGAGAGAAAAGGGAGGAGGGAGAAAAGGAGGGAGAGGTTTGGTCACACAGACACACACAGACAGACAGACAGACAGACAGACACCCCCACAGACACAGACACCCCCCTCCCCCCCGGCTCTGGCTCTGGCTGTGGCTCTCTGGGCGGACCTGGCAAAGCGACCCCCCGTATTCTGTGGCGGAGACGGTGGGAGTGAGTCGATGTGAAGGGGGGAAAGTTGCCCTGACGTCACGTAGTGTTGGGGAGAAAGATGGCCACGTTAACCAACGGCGGGGTCCAGCAGGTGGGAGACAGCCTGAGCAGCAGCCACAGCCACAGCCACCACCAGCTCCAGCTCCAGCTCGGCACCGCCAACGGGCCTATGAACGGACTCAGTCACGGCCACAGCAGCAGCAGCAGCAGCGCCGCCGCCGCCGCCACCACCACTATCCCCATGAAGGACCACGATGCCATCAAACTTTTCATCGGTCAGATCCCCCGCAACCTGGAGGAGAAGGACCTCAAGCCCCTGTTCGAGGAATTCGGGAAAATCTACGAGCTCACCGTACTGAAGGACCGCTTCACCGGCATGCACAAGGGTCTGTACACCCCCCGCACCCCCACCCGCACCCCCACCCTCATCCCGACCCCCGCACACCCACCCCAGCATCCCGCATCCCGACCCCCCGCACCCCCACCCCGACCCCCCCCCCCCCCCCCCCCCCCCCCCCCCGGGCTGCTTCTCTGTCTGTCTGTCTGTGGGTGGGTGTCAGGGTGTTAGTTAGTGTGTGGGGGTGTGTTACTGTGTGTGTGTGTTACTGTGTGTGTGTGTTAGTGTGTGTGTTAGTGTGTGTGGGTGTGTTAGTGCAGTGTGTTAGTGTGTGTGGGTGTGTTAGTGTGTGTGTGTGTTGGTGTGTTAGTGCAGTGTGTTAGAATGTGTGTTAGTGCAGTGTGTGTTCGTGTAGTGTGTCAGTGCTGTGTGTTTGTGTGTGTGTGTTAGACTGTTAATGTGTTAGTGTGTGTTAGTGTAGTGTGTTAGTGTAGTGTGTTAGTGTAGTGTGTTAGTGTTAGTGTGTGTGTGTTGGTGTGTGTTCCAGTGTGTGTTAGACTGTCAATGTTGGTGTGTGTGTGTCCCGCTCCTGGAGTCTCTTTTTTTCTCCTTCTGTAACTCTGCCCTCTCCGAGATTTTTTTCCCCCTATGTTTATTGTTTGGACAAAATGCTACATTTCTTTCACTTTCTCTCTCTCCGGTCCTCTCCTTCCTTTCTTTTTCTCTCTCTTCCCCCTCTCCTTCTCCCCTCTCTGTATCCCACATATAAATAAAAGCAGCACTCGCTGAAGCGCTGGGATCTGGTGGTGTGGTGCTGAAGGATAGCGTTACTCGCTATCGCTTACTGGGGGTGTGTGTGTGGTGCAGATATAGATATATAGATATATAGGTACATATCTGAGGTGTAACACGATGTCTTGTTATATTTACCCACCAAAAGAAAGAGTCAAAGTAGCTCAGAGCGATGGTTAAGCGCCCACAATGTGCTCCGTTGAAAACACAGAGGGGGAAAAACTGGGACATATCAATTGGCAAAAGCTAATGGTCCCAAACTCTCTTCCTTACACCGTAGAGCAATGTAACAACTTCCCATCCTGAGCATTACCCCCCACCCTCCTCCACACACACACACACAACCACACACACACAACCACACACACCTTTTGTGTGTTTCTTGTGTGTGAGAGAGAGAGGGAGAGAGAGGAGGAGAGGTGGTTGTGGAGAGAAACTGTGTGTAGCAAAGTACTCTTCCCGGTGAGTTAACAGTAAGGAAAGGACAGTTTGCTAACGCACTCTTGGTGTCTTAACAGTCTCAGGGGCTAACAGGGGTTCAGGGAGAGAGACGGAGGGGACAGGAGAGAGGGAGGGAGAGAGAGAGAGAGAGAAAGAGAAAGCATAACTTTTTAGGGTTTGGAAAAACACGAGATGAAACGTGCATTAAAAATAGACCCTCATTTGTGCGGGATGTTAAATTGTACAGCCATCACCGTACATACATACACAGGCACACACAGATAATCTCTCTCTCTCTCTCTCTCACACACACACACTCACTCACACACACACACACACTCACACACACAGAGCAGAGCCATACAATAACTTGCAATCCGCATTCGGTGCCTGGAAAACGCCAGAGGTCCAACGAGATGCCGCTGTGTGGGAGTGGGAGTGAGGGGGTAACCAAAAAAAAAAGTACAGACCAGGGTGTGCAGGTGCAGTCAATCTGCGTCTTAAAAGTAAGATATGAAAAAAAAAAGGCCCTTAGGTTATCTGTAATTTAAAATGCAATATTTATGAGCTAACTGGTCGTGTTTTCCAGACATGCATAAGATTCCTCGCTATTTTTTTTTCAATGATCAGCTTCCAATTTCAATTACTGGATCCGTGATTTAAATCATTTAAGAGGGCTTTCAAAACACCGAGTTGAGGTGTTCGTGAACCTGCAGAAATAATCAGGACACTTTTTTTTTTGGCTTGAACGTCTGCGGGCGTGTCGTGTGTGTGTGTGTGTGGGGGGGGGGGGGGACAAAAATTAAACCCCCCCCAAAAAACCTGAAAAACAAGTACCTTTATTGCACGTTTTGTGTGTGTGTGTGTGTTTTTTTCAAAGAAATCCAAAAAAAATGGTGCTCTCTCAAACGGTGGCGCTTTGATTTATTTATATACGTGGCAGGGAATAAATAAATCATTCCAAAAGTCTCCTACAATTGCAATGAAGGGAAGTGAGGGAGGGAGGGTTTTTTTTTTGGCCAGACCCTTGGTGTGGGTTCAGTCAAGTCCCATCTCTGCTGCTGTTTCCACTCAACACGTCTAATCTGTGGGAGCTTTGCAATTTAAGTTGCTCTGGGTGTGTGTGTGTGTGTGTGTGTATGTGTGTGTGTGTGTGAGGGGGGGGTGTGTGTGTTGGGGGTGTTGATCAACTCTAGTGGGTTAACTGTGACCACCCCACCACCTACTGTCTAACTATTACTGTGACTGAGGACTTCACACGCTTCACATAACGTACAAAGATAATCGTGGCAGCTTTTAAACAGTTAACTCCCCTCCCTCCTTCCTTCTCCCCTCCCTCCCTCCCTCCCTCCCTCCCCTCCCTCCTTCCCTCCTTCCCATCGCAATTGCTGTTATACCCGCATTTTCTTTTGTTGTTTCAAATGAAATATTATTCCAAATATATAAACTGATGTCATCTTAACTCTCCCAACCCTCGCCCTCCAGTCTTTAAAAGTTTGTTGGGGGGTGTGAGGGGCCTGAAATGTGTATTAGAGCTATAATTCGGGCTTTTCGTTTGAGGTTACTGTGTGTGTGTGTAATATATATACATATAATGTACAATTTTTGTGTTGCTTGACTGATGAATGGCAACTTTCCTCATGGTCTGATTGCCTCCAAAACCCACCTTGTTTCTCAGATATTGGCTGCATCGCTTCCAAGCAAGTGCATCAAAACCCCTGGCAAATAAAGTCTGGCTAATCTGATATAAGTTGATCATGTAAAGGAGAGAGGCTTTGCAACTCACACGAGCATCAGCTTTTAATGTCACAACACTGTATTGTTCAGAGCAATAAGCCAATAAGGTCACTGTGACTTGCCTTGAAACGAAAAGTGACAGCCGCATAACATGCAGAGTTTTTTTTAAAAAAATATATATATTTTATGTTCTTTTTCCCCTCATTAAATGACTAGGTTGCGCCTTCCTGACATACTGTGCAAGAGAATCTGCTCTAAAGGCCCAGAGCGCATTGCACGAACAGAAAACACTACCTGGGGTGAGTGCAAAAATATACATATATACATTTCAACTTATGCGGAATACTTTGGTTTGCAGATCCGAGCCCTTTTATTTCTCCCTACAAAGTAAATGCAGTCAATGCTGTCCTGTTTGTTCCCGAAAATGACTTGTCTGTCGCACCTCAAGAGGCGTTGTTTTTTTTAAAAAAAAATTAGGACAACTTTTTTTTTGTAACGTGTGTAAAAAAAAGTATTGGATGGTGTCAGCAAACGTGGTGCTTTCTTATTTATATCTGTGTGTTTTGCTGCGCGTGTGAGTGTGTGTGAGTGTGTGTGTGTGTGTGTGTGGTGGGGGGTTTGGAGCTGAAACAAGTCACCAAACACCCAGACTTCAGTCAACCGTATTGCAATCATTTAAATGCACTAAAAGGAGGTGATACGACAGGACAACTTTTTTTTTGCACAGGACTGAAATATTCAGTCTTCCGGACAGACACAGATTAAGTCGCCTTCAGACAATGAGATGAAACACGTGGATGGTATTGACTCGCTGTGTTCTTTCCATGAAGTCTGTGTGTGTGTGTGTGTGTGTGTGTTCTCGTGTGGGTGAGTGCACACGCGTGTGTGTCTCCATGTGTGCAAGTGTGTGCAGGTGCATATGCATGTATGTGTGTGTGTGTGTCCATGTGTGTGTATGTGTGTGTCCGTGTGTGTGTGTGTGTGTGTTCATGTGTGCATTTAAAAAAAACATCTCGCAACAGGAAAAATCTGCGCTGTGATTATGGTCACCTTACGAGTCTTTTTAAAAAGTCATTTACGCAATGAGCTATGATATCCCCTCTTTCTCTCCCTCTCTCTCTCTCTCTCTCATCGATTAATTTTCGTTGCCTGAAAATACATATTTTATAACCAGCTGACAAATTGAAGCGAACGTGTTACAAACCCAGTGGTTGGTTTAAGGTGTTGAGATAATCCACGTTGCTCCCTCTTCCCACAAGAACAACCCCTCGTCTTAATTAATGTCGCCTTTGACTATTTTAAAAGTACTTCATCTTTGCAAGATTTCTTGAAACCTTTCTGATTGTTTCCTTCTGTGCCTTAGTCAGTGCTCAAACACCCCCCACATCAACACACACACACACACACACACATCCTCCCCTCCCTCTCTCTCTCTTTCTGGTCACACAGTACGATCAATATATATTTTATGTACATCTGTATGGATGGATGATAAGGACTGGGGTTTCATGCAGAATGAGATGTATAAATTATAGAGGGCAAAACCACGGTAGGGATAATCCCTGAGGAATAACAATAGGAAATAAAATAATAACAGATTAGGATGGACGTTTTGATATTAATCCATCTATGTGTCATCACTGATTGAGTCAAGTTTTTTTTTGTTTTAAAAAAAAAAGTGCATTTGTGTATTTTATACATGTATATATATTTAATCAGTACTGAGTCGGAAATGTATGCCTTAAAGCTGGATGAGGAATTGTTATGCATTCAGTGTGTAGCCATCTACTATCATGGGGCTGGCTGTGTGGCTTTTGTCAAGACTTATTACCATACAGAAGCCTTCAGCTTTGCCATGGCCTACTTCATTCCCATTGTAGAGATGCATTTAGTCAACAGCTGTCACTGCTGTGCAGCCGCCTTCCAAGTTACAAACCCAGACCCCCTCCTCATCTATCCTCCTCGTCAGCTGTAATAATCTGTTAATCTCAAATCTTCGCTAACCTAATCACATTTGTTGGGGGTTGGGGGTGGGGGGGGGGGGGGGGGGGGTCGTTCAGTTCCAGCCTGCAATTCAATCTTAATGTTGTTGGCCTTTATTATCAGTTTATGTTGTAATTGTTGGATGCCACAGTCGCGAATGATTAGGACTTTGAAGGCATAATCTTTGCTTGTTTCTCAGAGTGCATGTGTGTGCGTGTGTGTGTGTGTGTGCGGGTGTGTAATATCATGTGTGCAATAGTGTGTGTGTGTGTGTGTGTGTGAGACAGAGAAAATGTGCGTGTGGATTTTTGATGGTAACTCATGTGTGGTGGTGTAAGGGTGTGGGTGTATGTGTGTGGGTGTGAACGAGTTCATGTGTGTTAACATTGTAGAATATGACAAGTATTGTTTTATTCCCAGGAAGTTTCCACATATAATTTGCAACAATCTCTTGTTTGTTATGCTTAAGGTTAGTAAAATGTTTTATTTTAAACAGTATTTGGGATGAGGAATTAACCTGAATGCTTCAGTCAGAATACATTTGTGTACTAACGCACCCTTAGAGTAACTAAGATTATGTTAGAATAACCAACAAATACAATTAATAGCAAACCCATATTTTAACAAGCGACGCATCTACACCCTGTTAACAACAAATAATAACTACAAGCATTTTCAGTGGCTGCACAAAATTGTTAGGAGTGAAAGAAAACTGCGGCTTGAAGTTGAAATATCTTTAAGGTATTTTATACTTGCAGAGAAACCCATAGAAAAGTACACACACACAAAAAAAAATCTGTTGCAACTAAATGTCTGTGAATCCTCCTTACCATCCCTGCTTGGCTTTGAAGTTATGCGGAATTGATTTGAAATTGACAAGTTATTTAACAAGCCATGCTGAAGCTTTCAAAGTCTTTAACACGTGAACTCGGCCTGTTATATGAATGATGAATATTATAGAATAAGCTGCCGACGTTAAAAAAAGATGAGGCGAGTTATCTTGTTTGCCTTCGCTTAATAGATTATGAAACCCTTAGACGGCTAGACCTAACGTAGGAAGACTGTAATAAATAAATAGACTGGTTTCATGTGACTTGCTGGGTTGCAGTTTTCTTTAGTCTGATGTGTGTGTGCATTGTGAACGCTTGCAATACTTTTTTTTATATAAAAAAAGCAACAAAAAAAAGCTCCCTGACCCTTTGAATCATTTCTCACAGGGAGAGCACATTTCACTGTAAGCTTTCGGAGTAAGTAGATTTATGATGGATTCATCCAAACCCCGTGTCTTGCTGCAAACGTTAAGAATGACCGAGATCATTTTATTACAATTAAGATTTCTGCTGCTGTGTGCAACCAAGGTGACAAACAATACAATACTTTCATTGTGGGGGGAAAAAAAGTGAGTGTATGTGTGTGTGATGCTGAGAGCGATGCTGCAATGAGAGACTGATTACATGAATTGGAGTCAGTTTGGTCTATGTTGACCTGCCGAAAACTCAGGGGTATTGTGAAGAATTGCAGACTTTTTTTTATATATATATACATAAAGCCAGCAAGAATGTCCAATGAGAGGTGTAAGATGTGCAAGAAATGTGTGCTAGGATGATTACACATGTTGTTCCATCTGAGTCGAGAGAAAGAGAGAGAGAGCACTTACATTTCCTCATTATTGTCTATTGAATGGCTGAAGCTGAAAGTAATGAGATGGAGCTTAATAAGGAAATGCTTCCTTTCAGAGGATGAGAGTTGTGAGCTTTGCTGTATCTGCCATGTCTCATTAACAGGCTGCCGTGGAGCACATGGTAGCACACAATAATGAGAGTTTCGTGGGGGGGGGGGGGGGATTTGTGGAGGGAGAGGAGGAGGGGGCAGTTGTAAAGCGAGCTTGCTGCACTCTAGAGATATCTCTTTTGTGTTACCGAGCATTTAAGCTCATTCTCTAGCAGACACCTGGCACAGATGAAAACAAAAAGGGGAGACAAAAAGATGGATATTAGAAGACTAGGCGACACAGTGGTGAAACATTTATCATGTTTGTTCTGCGTTTGTGTGTTCTTCAGCCTTCCCAACACGTCGTGTTGATAGCTGTGGGTTACATGACATGTTCTGCTGTGGTGACTACCTCTTAGGTGGGACTGTCTGGGGCGCGGGTTGGGGCACTAGCAGAGGAGGAACCACTGTCAGTCACTGTACTGTACTGTCTCACCTTGCTCTGGTGGACTTTCCACCAGGTGATCTGAACAGAGCACTGTAGACGTTAATAATAATAATAATAATCCTTGCATTTGATATAGCGCCTTATGATGCCGTCGAGACGTCTCAAAGCGCTTCACAGACTATACCGTAAAGCGGAGTGACTGTATTTTGTGGGTGAAATGCGGCAGTCAGTTGTGCACAGCGGTGTCCCAAAAAGAGTCATGGATTGAGTGACCAAATTATTGTTTTCTTTATTATTTTGGAGTAATTATGACCCCCTCCCCCCAGAAAAGCAATCCGCCAATCGACAAACAACCGGGTTCTACTTATTGCTAGGTAAACAGATGCGTGGAGCAAGGAAACTTGCCTAAGGTTTCACCCTGCCCATTGCAGTCAGGTGCTTACAAAAAAGGTGGAAAAAAGTAGGGGGAAATTAAATTAATAGAACATACTTATTTCTTTAGACAAAAAAGGGTTCCGCTGGAGGTCAAACAAGCATGGCCCAGCTAACCTCTGACAGGAACTTATCTTTTCACAGCACGGGAGGATTAATGTCAGTATTGGAATACTGTGGCACAATGTGATTTGGATCAAGGCAGAACCTTGCATCTATCTCTCAGTTGGGCCTGTGTGGGAGGTTTCTGATCCCGCAAGATTAGTTTGCTCAGATTGAATCCTCTTTGCAGATCCAGGGAAGACAAGGGCCAGCTTAGCATTGTACAAGTATTGCTGGAAAGAAAGCTTATTTCAGCTTTACTTTGGGCCTCAAATGAATATCATAGAAGCATTAATGCACGTGACATGGTCAGCTTACTTATGTATATTATATTGATGGCTGAAGAAAAACTCTCATGAATACATAAATAATACACAGATATGAGGTAAGCGTTTTCAACTGAGTTGGTACTTTTGCCAATTTTACAAATGACGGGCAAAATTTTGGCAAGTTTCCTTACTCCACATGCGTCTGTTTACCCAGCTGTAAGTAGGAACCTGGTTGTTAGCCGGGGGTAATAATCCCTTCAAAAAAATTTAAAAAATAAAAATAAAAATAATTTGTTGACTCAATCCACAACTGGGATGCTGCTGTGTGGAATTGGCTGCTACCTTTCACCCAGAA